TAATGGCAGTCTGCCTCTGTAATGGCAGTCTGCCTCTGTAATGGTGGACTGCCTCTGTAATGGCGGACTGCCTCAGTAATGGCTGAATGCCTCGGTAATGGTGGACACCCTTCCCCCAACACAGCTGGACCATCCTGAGTGGAACCTCGTGGCGCTTTTCAGCCTGGGAATCTCTTGGTCTATGGCCAGTAATAACTCATTTGGAAATGCAGTGTTCACTCACCCTCTGCATTGTTCTCACTGGGAACTGCACTCCAGAGCTGTTCCTATTTGGCCATCTTGGATTCCCTCCCCCCTCACCACCAATGGTATTAATAAAATGGGCAGAAGCTCATTGAGACCCCCTTCATTCCTTAAAACTACTGCTTCTCCTCCCCATTTGTCCCCTCCGTCTCTGCTCTATTATCCCCACATCATGCTTCCTCACCTCCAGGCATCCAGTTTGGGTCCTATTGAAGGGCCAGGCAATGGCTCACTGAGTGCTAGTCCCTGCCCCCACACAGCACAGCATGACTCCCTGAGGGCAGCGTTGGGGCACTGGTTTGCTCTTGGAGTCACCACACACCATGCCTAGAGCTGGTCCCCAGAAGGCACCTGGCACAGAGTTTTTTGAATTCAGCCTTAACATTCTTTCCTCTTCGTGACCAGCTCAGCAAATCCTTTCCCTTCCCCATGCCTGCTCTGTCCTCCTGTGATGGCAACACTGCCTTCCCTGTGGTCTGGGGCAAAGAGCAAGTCTGGAGGAGAAAAAAACTCAGTGTGGTCTCTGCTCTGCCACTAACAGCTAGTGTTACTTTGGGCAAGACACAGTCTCTCTGTACCTCATTTCTCTCATTTACTCAATGACAGTTCAACATATCTGCCCAAGTATAAAGCAGTGGTGGCTGTGTGACTATGTTAAAAATAAATAAATAAACAACAAGAACAACAACAGGAAAAATGCTGTTAGAAAAAGCTAACAGACACTATACAAAGAAGATATTGCCATCATCTTTCCCTGTTCACATACTCCGAGGGGACGTGTGAGGCCAGGCAGTTTTCTGTATTTCCTCCCAGCAACAGTAAAGAAAGCCTACTGCTGGGCACAGTGGCTCATGCCTGTAATCCCAGCACTTTGGGAGGCCGAGGCACGTGGATCACAAGGGTAGGAGTTCGAGACCACCCTGACCAACATGGTGAAACCCTGTCTCTAATAAAAATACAAAAATTAGGCGGGCAAAGTGGTGAGTGCCTGTAATCCCAGCTACTTGGGAGGCTGAGGCAGGAGAGTTGCTTGAGCCTGGGAGGCGGAGGTTGCAGTGAGCTGAGATTGCGCCACACACTCCGGCCTGAGCAATAGAGTGAGACCCTGTTTCAAAAAAAAAAAAGAAAAGAGAAAACCTACTGTCAAACACGTCTCTCAATCCACCTTACTGCATTCACTATTAGGTGACTAGGAATAGAAAACCAGCACTCCTTCTATTAAGTCTTGGAGGACCATAGCAAGGACAATTAGCATAGAAAAATCACCAAAGATTTAGAAGATCACAGTGCTGAAACTGAAGTTCATGCTTTTCTCTCCCAGTAGGATTAGCACACCCTGGAGCCTGCTGGATGCGAAGAGGGACTCCCACGGTGTTAGAACCAGCCATACCTCCACAATCACCCATGGATTTCTCCACGGGCTCCAAGCTCTCTACCTGCCTCCCCAGGCTTAGTAGCATCCTACAGTCACATCTCAGGACTCTGAGACCTGGGCTGGCCTTCGGGAAATCAGTGGCCAGGTCTGCCACTAAACTTTCCGAGGTTGTGACACTCGTCCCAGGCCACTGCCGCTCTGGATACTTTATCTCTCTTTTGCCTTTGCCCTGTCAGCATTTTCACAGAGCCACTGACAGCCACTTCTGTGGCATTGCCAGTTACTTGTAACAGACAATTCCTTAAGCATGGGGAACATGTCTTATTGTCATTCCACCTGTCCTAGCCCAGGCCTAGTAGGAGGTAGGATAGATGTTCCTTGAACGAAGGAAGCAGAGGAAAAAGACTTTTATACAAGCCAGGCTATCAAAGCATTTAATGTAGGACAGGAGTTCTCAACTGGAAGCAATTTTATCCCCAAGAGAACATTTGGCAATGTCTAAAAACATTTTTAGCTGGCACAATAGTGGGATGCTTGTAGCATCTAGTGGGTAGAGGCCAAGGATGCTTCTCAACATCCTGTGATGCACAGGACAGCACCTCTTGCCCCAACAAAGAATTCTCTGACCCAATGTGTTAATGCTGCTGAGGCTGAGCAACTCTGATGACAGGGAATGGGTGAAGAGACACAAACTTCCTTCTAGGATGATGCCACTAATAGCCGTAATCATATACATTTTACACTCTCATGAACAATTCCTATTATCTCCTCAGATTCTTTCATTGGGATATTTATTTTTTTGAGAGACAAAGTTGTGCTCTGTCACCCAGACTGGAGTACAGTGGCACAATCAGAGCTCGCTGCAGCCTTAAACTCCTAGGTTTAAGCAATTCTCCTGCCTCATCCTCTGGGGTAGCTGGGAGTATAGGCATGCATCACCATGCCCAGCTAATTTAAATATGTTTTTGCAGAGGTTGGGTTTCGCTGTGTTGCCCAGGCTGGTCTCAAAATCCCTGCCTCAAGTGATCCTCCTGCCTTGGCCTCTCAAAGCCTTACAATTAAAGGCATGAGCTGCCACACCAGGCCCTCACCAGAATTAACAGGTGAGAAAATGAGACACAGAGAATAAAAGGCTAGCTTGTGATTGGCCAAATCAGCAGTGAGCTCAAACTAGAATCCAGGTTCCATGACAAGGTCAGTATTCTTCCCACCTTTTCTCTGTAATGAGAGGAAGATTTTGCTTTTGAAGGCAAGGGAGGGTCTTAGAACAATGGGACCTCAGGACTAGAAAGTCCCAGCGCCTTCTCACTTGAGAGGGGAGACCCAGAAGAGTATCTGTCCCACTGCAGGGCCACGCTCTGATGAGGGAAGGGCCCAAGGCCAAATCTAGTCTGGCCAGGCTGGTATGGAGCCACCACCTCCTCTCCCCTGGGCCCTGCACACCACTCTGCTCTTCACACAGAATCTGAGTCTTTCATGCACGCTATGCTTCTAATAGTCTCTTCTCTTCTGAAGTCAACTGATGCCACCCGGGGGAATTCCTAAGCATGTCTCAGAGATTTGGAGGAAGGGAAGAGCGAGCAAGCAGCACACTGCAAAGAAAACTGGTCACATTCTGTCTCCCTAACCTTTTCCACATGGAGCCTGTCTGAATGGAATCCCAGCTTTATTCAATGGCGGGACTGTAGGAGGCAGTTCAGATATTCAGACTGAGAGTCAAAATTGCCAAAGTAAGTTATTTCACAAAGAAATTATACTAGGCCCAAAAGGGAAATAAATCCTGGGGAACAAAGATGGGAATAAGGTGCTCAGAAACCTTCTCTGGCCCGAGGGAACCGCATGCATGAAGGCCCAGGGTAATAGCTGAAGAGGCTGCAGAGGCTGAGAGAGAGGCTCATTTTTTTAAAGATTTGAGGTAGTATTTCAGGCAAGAAAAGAGGATCTGGAACAAGGTGAGTAAGGAAGAGAAAAGTCTTCATGGGACTCTGACATCGATTAGACACTGGGAAGTAAAGGAGATAAAAGAATCAAGGGTTAAACTGTGCTGTATGGTGGCCACTGGCACCTCTGGGTATCTGAAATCAATTAAAATGAAATAAAATTAAGAATTCAGCTCGTCAATCACACTAGACATGTATCAAGCACTCAACAGTCACGTGTGACAAGCGGCTCCCATGCTGGGTAAGTCAGATGACAGCACATACCCATCGTCATAGGGATTCCCCCTGCACCACAGGTTAGAGAGACTCTCAGGCTTCTAGTCTGAGAGATCAGATCTGGTGGGTGGATGAAGTATCAGGAAATGTTATGCCTCTTACTGCAACAGAGACCAATTAAAGAGGAAACCATTCTTGGGGAGTGGCAGGAGATGAAGAGTGTGGTCTCAGGCATGCAGATTGCAAGGTGGACAATGAAGCTCTAGTAGGCTTGCACAAACACTTGTCTGGAATTTAGCAGAAACCAAAGATGTACAAAGATCATAAAGAGGTCTATGGACTTGGGGCCCGGCGCAGTGGATCATGCCTATAATCCCAGCACTTTGAGAGGCCAAGGAGGGTGAATCACGAGGTCAGGAGTTCAAGACCAGCCTGACCAACATGGTGAAATCCCATCTCTATTAAAAATACAAAAAAATTAGTCAGACATGATAGTGCAGCCTGCAATCCCAGCTACTCAGGAGGCTGAGGCAGGAGAATCACTTCAACCCTGGAGGTTGCAGTGAGCTGAGATCGCACCACTGCACTCCAGCCTGGAGGACAGAGCAAGACTCAGTCTAAAAAACAAAAGAGTTCTACAGACTAGGGTGAGGTCAGCCACATGAGCATGGACAGAACTGGAACAAGGTTTCAAGGTGACAGTAGAAGCAAATGTTGGATCAGAGTGGGCTGAGGAGTGAGAAGGGGAGCAAGTGTAGATAATTCTGGAAGCTCAGCAGCAGAGGATAATGTGAGAAACAGGACCATGTGCATGTCCAATCGTTCGACACACCAAGCAAGGTCTTGATTCTTCAACACAAGAGAAGCCTTTCCTGATCACTCCAGCAATCTTTCCAAGTCTGAATTGGACACTTGCTGTGAGATGCACTCATGGCTACATTTAATGTTCTCTATTTGATTCAAGCATGCACATTCCTGACCACCACTGTAAGCTTCATGGGATCAGGGAACTGCATTTTTTCTCTTGAGTCCTCCTGGATGGCAGACAGGTGGCACTCAGCAAATGTCTGTCAGCCTGTCTGTAAACATGTAAGCTGTCTGGGAAGTGTAAGTCCAGTTAGTCATCATGCTGAAGGCCAGAGAGCCCCAGGCAAGGCCTGGCCCACCCTGTTCCACCGGAACCTCTGAGGCTGGGCTGGACAGGCTAATGCCCAGCAGGCACTTACTGGAAGGGGAGCTTCTCATCGTTGGGCTTGATGCAGCGCACATAGTGAGGTGTCGTGGCATTCAGGGTCTCCATGAGCAGATGCAGGGAGGTACGGAACTAGAGAGACAAAAGCCGGTGCTTGGTTATTTTTAACAACGTGTGGATATATAATAAAGAAAAGCTCATATGGGTGGTGGTAATTATTGTTACCATTATTACTATTATTATTAATCCAGAAGGACAGAAGAAGTTCAGGGACCTGGGGTAAGATTCCAGTTCTGACACTGCTCTCTTGCTGTGACCAGAATCAAGTCCTTCCTATAAAAGGGCTCCTCAAATTACATAGAGAGAGTCTGCCCCCTAATGTGCCTAACTCCCAGTGGTGTGGATCAAATAACATGAAAGGTGGGCAAATACTATATGAGACATTTGTTCACTGTGCCCTGGAAGCCTGCTATTCCCAAACCTGAGGGCCTGGGGCCTGACACCTGATGCCCCGGCATCCTGGAAATAATTTGTTATACTAAATGTCCAGAATGGCAAACCCATAGGAATAATGGACATTTAGTAGATGGTGGCTGCCAGGGACTTGGCAAGCATTCTCTTCTTTTCTCTCCAGAGACACACTGGGCATAACAGCCACAGAGACCCCACAGCAGGAAAAGTTGCTTTTAGTCTCCAGATTTAAAGCTTCCTTAAGCCTCTTCTTTAACATATAAATTCCAGGCCCTTTTGCCTCCTTCACTGGGTGTCTGTGGCCCTGTGGCACAGCCCACCACACGTGTTAATATACTTATGGGGGCTACGGGCAGCCCCTTCCCTCCTCCCTCTGTTAGTTCCCTGTGGTGAAGGTTTTGGAATTTCCTTCTTCTAAGGACACAAGATTGAGCTGCGTGGCTGAGGCTGCTGATGTCAAGGCTGCTGTGATAGCTTCCCTCCGACCCTGCTGCCATCCTTCATCTACAGAGAGCCCAGCCCTGCACGTGTGCCTTGGCCCACAGCTTTTGGTCCAGGGCTGACCTGGTGACCAACGGTTTTCTTGTGCTCCTTGTTGGAGACTTTCATGGGGGTTCTGGCAGAGCGGATGTTGATCTTCGAAGATGACCCCTTCCCAGGGGTGGTGGCAGGAACGGGGTCCTTGTTATCATGAAACAAATCAGCCACTAGTGGGAACTAGAAACAATCACAGAAAGAATGATGAAGGAGATCTCACCATACATGTTTCCTTTCAAAGCTTCTTTTCAATACATAGCTGAGAACTGAAAACACATGTCCACGCCAAAACCAGCCCACCAATGTGCACAGCAGTGTTACTCCCAAGAGCCACAAAATAGGAACAACCCAAACATCAACCGATGAATGGATAAACAAACGTGGTACACCCATACAATGGATAATTATTCAACATTATTAATATATTCAACAATATAAAGGAATGACCTTCTGATCCATGCCACAACATGGCCATACCTCGAATAAATTATACCAAGTGAAAGAAGCCAGACACAAATGATCATATAGTGTGTAATTCCATTTACATGAAATATCCAGGGAATAGAAAGTAAGTTATTGGTTGCCAGGAGTTGGGGAAGAAAGGGAAAGAACAAGAGAAAGGGGAAGAAGAGGGCGAAGGGGAGAAAGGGAGTGACTGCTAATGGGGACAGGATTTCTTTGTGGAGTAATAAAAATATTCCCAGACTTATAGTGGTGATGGTTGCATAAACTGGTGAATATACTGAAACCCAGTGAATTGTGTGCTTCAAAACAGTAAATTTTATAATGTATGAATGACAATTCAATTTTTTAAATGGTAGGAAAAATGGTAGTAGCTTTCCCACACCATCTTACTTGACCTTCACCTACAAAGACAGGCAGAACTTCATTTCCTTGTGGTGTGGGAGGAGGTGGCTATACTTTAATACAGCTACATTTTAAGTTCTATTTTTCTACATTATTGCATCCTGTCAAGTTAACTTCCCTGATACCTGTTTTCTCATAAGTAGAATAAGGATAAGCCTATGCTTGTTGTATGGGGTTGCTATGAGTACTAAATAAGAGGTTAATGTCTTTATCTGCAACAAGGTGAAGATGCAGGACTTGGACAAGGTGCTGGTGTCAGTGTCCCAGCCATCAAGACGTTCAGTCTGATAGGAACACAGTCCTGCCATCATCCCTTGGGAAAGTCAATGCTGGGGCTAGAATAAAGTATTATGTATTGCAAGGCTTTTATCACACTCCTGCAGGGGTGGGGGAAAGGAGGGAGGGAAAAGGAACACACAGGCCCCATTCACTATCCCTGAGCCACTTCCAATCTCAACAGAAAGGAGGCTAAATGCTAGTGCCTCAGATGCTAGGCTCTGCTCCTTCTCACCTACCCTGTGCCCTCTTCCTTCAACCCCCATTTAAATACATGGCCCCCTCTCCTGCCACTGTGTCTAGTTCTCCACTAGAATTCCCTAGTCTCGTGTCTGAGGGATCCCTGATCGGATCCCACTCACCCCTCTCAGACAATACCTTGCAAAGCCATCCAGCTGGTCATGTTGCTATTCCACAGGTGCCATGCTCACTACGCCTGCCTCTATACCTTTGCTTACTGTGCTATTCTTACCTGAAATGCCCCCACCCCTTTCTCTTCTGTACTTATCCTGAGAGGCCCCTCTCTCAAGGTTGAGCCCTGCCCCTCCTGTGACCCTCTCCCAGAGCATCCATCACTCCTGTCTGTGTCTCCCACAGGCTCTGTGATGCCCTTGGACCCATGCCCTCCGAGGTCTATGCTGAGTCCCGAGCTCTACACTTGCCAAGACTTCCCTTTCTATAGAGGGCTGAGGAGAGAAGTGAATGACAGAATTCACGTAAGCATGTAGAAGAGTGCCCAGCATATAGGGCTCAGACATTATCTAGTTTTATTACTTTTACTAGGGGTTAGATACACGAATGATCTTTCTAAACCATGTAAGTACAGATGCTTAAGAAAGTTGTATTTTTGGTCTGAAGAAGAAACAACAGAGAATTTTAGATGTGGAACAACTGTAAAGATCAACTTTCACCTCCATTGGCAGGTGAGGATACAGGAGCTTGGGGAGAAGAGACATACTGGAATCCTGTGCCAATCTGTGTTCCCTTTACCACCAAACACAGTGGCCAGCACCAGCTCCCAAAGGGCTGCTAGTCAATGGCTGAGGGGCTAGAACCTCGGCCTCTGGATGTCCAGGTTGGAGCTTATTTCAATACATAAATATAGCCTTGTCATTTACACCTGCAATATCAAGAAGGCGGAAATATTTAAGGGCTTCAGACATAGTCTTGACTTCTGAGGTACTTGCAATAACAATTAAATACATAAGGTAATACTTCCATGAAACACTTCTCTAGCTGCCATCATCTCCTAAGACTCGTAGGAGATTTAGGCTAAGGCAAGCTACCTACTGAAGACACAACATCATCTTCATGTATGGCTACAGGTCCGATATAGCAGTGACAGCTCATGCTCTGGTGATGCTCTGCACTGCTGAGACCTTCAATAAATTAAGTTCCAGTTAAACGGAGTATTTACTGAGCACCTACAAATACTTTCATACCAAGAACATTATACCAAGAACTTGGAAAGAAAGAATCACGTAAGAATCGGTCGAAAATTCACAAAATAATTCACTATTCTAGGTGTATTCAAAAAGTCCTAGCGGCATATCAAAACAAGGCAACACATATGAGCTTTTTCACATGACAGTCTACAGTGGGCCCCGGCTCATCTCCCTCCTGAAGTCAGAGACACATGACAGTGCAGAGTCTTGATGTCACATTAGCATATTACAGTGTCCAGAGTAGCAAGATGGTGCTGGTGGCACGCTAGAACTGTTCTCAGAAACTGTCAGATTCAGGTGACTTAGCACACTCAAAGGCAGTTTCCGCAAACTTATTAGGCACCTTTATGTTGGAGTTGCAGGGTGATGGGACTTGGGGAATAAAACACATGGTGACCATCCCATTCCCATGGGGCTTCTTGCAACCTGACCTCACTTAAGGCCAGCAGAAGACCATCAGCAACTACCGAAGTCACGTCCAAGGAGAAAGTGGAGAGATGCCGACTCTTTGGTCAGTGAGCATCCCTCGGTCTGATGACTCTGCTATTCTCACATATCAAAGTAACTCATATCACTTCTAGGCCTTTTGGCTAAGATCAAGCATCAGGCAACTTGGATGAATTCCACAGACCCAAAGGTTTCTTTTCAGCAAGGCTTAAGCCTCACTTTATCAGGAACACTTTGCAATCACAGTGGATTAATATGAAGGTGCCCACCTACACATGCATACAAGGTTATGATGCCTAATGCTTAAAATGGCACCTAATTTTAAGGTGAAATTTGTAGGCTAATTTGAGAGACTGAGAGACTGTTATGATTTCTGTTCTGCATTTGCTGAGGAGTGATTTACTTCCAATGATGTGGTCAATTTTAGGGTAGGTGTGATGTGGTGGAAACCACACTACTTCTATCCGTTGGACTTGGCGAACACTGGAGTTGCTGTCAAGGTACATTTCAGCAGCGCGGGGTGGGGGCCATCTGGTAGAGGTGAAAATTGTAGGCTAATCTTCTACATCAAGCATTTTAAACTAAAAACATACAAAAACAATTAGTTCCTCTTACCTCACTCTGAGTTATTACAAGTTCATAAGTTTCAGGAGTTTCAATTCTAGAGTCAAGAGTAATTAACACAAGTCAGCATTTTGTTTTACGTAGCACAGGAGCTAGCATGATGGATTATAAAGCAATGAAACAACCGTGTGTGTACATGTGCACCTACATGAACAACCATGCTGGAATCAACATGCGCCAGTTTCACTTTTCCCTTGCACTCCTCATTTTTTCGCAGACACACCAACCATTAGAAGCACCCGATTTCCATTTTCCACCAGAGTGATTTGCAAGCATATAAAAGCTGCAGTTCCTTAGTTCCCTGGGCTGGGTTCTAAGTTCAATCTAAAAACACCAACCAATCATCTTAAGGCCATCTCTGGTGAGCAGCTCAAGCTCATTCTCACTGCTGGCTATTCTGTGGCTACAATAAGCTGCTGACACCATGATTAGCACTAGAGAATGCTACCTGAGCAAAGCACACCTCGAATCCCTGCCTCAGGACCTGGAAGGGATAATCCTATTCACAACATGTAGAATCTAAAGAGCTCCGTGGAAGGAGATGAAGAGACAAATCCCTGGCTAAGGATACTGATGATATTGTTGTCAAGCAGGTACCCTGGAGGGTCCCCCAATGAGATCACTAAGGGGGCCCCTAATTGTTAGCTGCTAACAGGTGCCAATTCTGTTCCTATTCTTAGCATCTTTGAAATAAATCTTCCTCTTCTCTTCATGCATGGCATTTCAAAGTCATAAATATTGTCTTTTTAGATGGGAAGGTAACTAGTAAGCTGTCAGAAATAAAAAAAACACAGTTTAAGAGCTGTGGCTAAAATCTGTATGCCAACATCATAAAGAATGATACTTTTATTAGGTACTCAATTCCATGTGCAGTCAAAGAAGAGAAAGTAAATAGTAGGTCACTGACTGTCAAGAAACTAGACTGACTAGTTTGTTCGGTCTTTCATTCATTCATTCATTCATTCATCCATCCATGCATTAATCCATCAACACTGACTGACTCTCAAATATGCAACAAATGCCGTGCTAGGGACTGGTAACACAAACGTGTTATAGAACAAGTCTAGCCTCTTCTATACCATGGAGTTTATGGTCTAGCATGGTAGGTGAGTGCTAATGAAAATAACCCACAATTAAAAACACAATGACAAGATGATGAAAATCCTAAAGGAAATAAACAACAAAGATGTGACTGAATCAGGGGTCTGGGCGAAAGAAATGAAGAAAGAATTCTTTTAGGGAGGGAAGTCTCAACTGTAGGACATTAGATGGAGAGGACAGCATGTTATGGGGTGGAAGTGATGGCACCTTTGAAGGAGCTCCATGTTTTCAGGGCTAAGATAAAGCTGGTCAACCAGCAATGTACACAGTGAGAAGGAAGGAAGAGGGACCAGCTCATGCAGGCCTCAGTTAAGAATGTTTATTTTTATCCTAAGAGCAACGGGAATCCACTAAAGGGTTAAAATAATAGGGGCTAATATTTACTGAGCACGTCAACTATGCCTGGCACACATGAACTCG